GTAGTATATACAGTATATACATTTTTTTAATTCAATGTCAGCAGATGGGCACTGTACTGCTATGTAAAGCAACACAAAAACATACTTTAGGTTTGAACTACCTTTTTTTTRCTTTTTTGTCACTTTGGTATGAGGCTTGACTAGCAGTTTAACAGGTTCCTATCCTAAGCTCCAGGTCAATCGATTAGTCCACCTAATTGTCCCACTGTAGTTTTGGTCATGATGTGCCCATACCCACTGGCTGAAAACAAGCCACACCACAGATCTCTTTGTACCCACCTTGGCCTGATTTTAACCCACTGGTTTGCAAAAAGAGTTTAAAACAAAGAGAATAAATGGATGACATTTTTATTTTTTATATAAAGTCAATTTGTTTTGCTGGAACTAGAAAACCTCTCCAAGAGCTTTTTAAAATTGTATTTAGTGCATCAGGAACCTCCTTCTTAGGAACTATTCTGACATTTTTTAGTTGATTTTAATGCCGGAGTAGCCATGATAACAGCATATTATTAAGTTTTAAATAAGGGAGCGAGTATGATTAAAAAAAAAAAAATCACCCACAACTTATTGCTTACAGTATATCAGTGTATTCACAAGTTTTACCTGGATAGGTTGTGTCAGGAATCTGGTAGCAGGTATTTGGGAATTCAGTTGCCTCCTTCACACCCTTCCATGATTCTACTGGTTCTGGAGGATGGAATCTCAGTTTTCCCAAAGGTGGTTTTCCATAAGGAATTCCAAGAAATGCTCTAACTTCACCACCCAGAACTGAAAGCAACTTCCCTTGAACTTTCCCATGTGCAGTGCCAATTACAAGGTCATCTCTTGAGGCAAATGATATAGGGAGGATGGGGAGCAGCAGAAGAAAAATAGCAAAATGTGCATACTGACAAGTTGTTGCCATGGGGAATCTTGGAAGGGGGGTTGCGGGGGACAAAACAGAACACAGAGACTTTATTAATTTGTTTAATAAATATGTAACATGTTGTAATAAGGTCATAGTTGAAAAAACTGATCAAACTATTACACAACCATTTTTACAGAAGCACAAACATTTCATCTTTTACTTCAGCCTTTTTAACAGGAATAGTGCCAAACTGCATGCTGAATGCCAAAAGAAATTGTGGATACCAATGAGACTGTTTACATGTATGTGTTAGAATTTGAACTTGAAACATTTCAGGGATAAAATAATATATATATATAAAAGTCTGATACAAAATGAATTAAACAGTGATTCATGTAATTAATTTTCTCAGATTATTTCCAGGGTTGTAATGTAACTAAGTACAAATACTTTGTTACTGTACTTAAGTAGAATTTTTGGGTATCTGTACTTTACTTGAGTACTTATTTTTCAGCATACTTTTTACTTTTACTTATTACATTTTTACACAATTAGCTGTATTTTCTACTCACTAGATTTTTTTAAAAGGTAAGAAGTGGAAAGTTGTTACTCCTATTTTATTCTGAGTTGTTATTGCTTAAAAAAATACTATCCTGAAAAATTTTGTCTCCTGGWTAGAGTGAATTTAATTGTGGTTAGACGAGAAGTATGAATATATACCATTCTGACAGCCTATTAGCTTGTACACAACCCACCACAGCTGCACGCCGTTAGAAAAAAAA